TGCTCTCTTGCTTCCTCTCGCCATGTGATCTGCTTGTACCTGCCAGCTGACTGCTGCCTTTCCGCCATGAGTAGAAGCAGCCCGAGGCCCGTGCCGGATGCAGCTGTCCCAGAATCATAAGCCAAATAAACCTCTTTTCCTTATAAATTACCCAGTCTCAGGTATTTCTGTTATAGCAACACAAAACAGACTAAAATACATGGCTAAGGCATTCACATGTTTGATTTAGACTGAGCCTTTCTACAACAAATACAGCAATTTAAAAAATATTTGGTAAGCACCTAAGCAGCTCTAAGACTTGCATACCTTGTGGTTCATCAACTTCAAGGCCATTTCTTTGGGTTCAAATAGGATAAACAGAGATCTAGGAAGAACACTAGAGTCAGGGTCAATCTCTAAGTATCCAAACCCATTCTCAATAATGTCCTTAAAGTAAGGTCAGAACTTCCTGCAAATTTCCCTAATTCAGATGGCAACATTATAAGAAGGTAGGAAGCTGAGTGGGGCCATTCCTTCCTGGGGCCTTTCTAATACTCAACGGGCAGCATGTAACTATAATTTGGCAACCAGATGGGTTATAGATAAAAAATATGGGAGTCTGTCCAAGGGCCCTTCTTTACGAAACACGACATTAGCAAAGGCAAATGGCATCTATGTGGTGAGTATTTTTAATTTTTTAATCTGTAACTTCAGATAAAATTAATCTACCACACACATTTCTCATTAAAACTTTTTTTATTGCATCCTAGCTCTATAGTCTCTCCTCATTGCACTAAATGAAATAGGATAACCCTCCTTTATGTGGCTAAATCAATTTTACAGTCCTGTTCCTTGTCTCGAAGCTCCATCTCCATCCCTCCTCTGAGGTCATCCAGTTATTTTCACTCACTTACCTTATTACCTCAAAATCATCACTACCTAAAACAAAGTCATCTTTGTAAGCCTGGCCCCAGGTCCCCATCCTGTACACTTGCACCTTGATGCCTCCTCCAATAAAAACTCACCTGGTAATTCGCCTGCTAATCTCAATAGCAATATGATTACACCAGTAATCTAGATTATAATCATTGCATTCACTTTTGAGTATTTGATGATGGATGGGGAATGGGTACAAAAAAATGGGTTAGATTAGTCAATTTCACTAAATCTAGATGATCCCATCTTGGATATATCTTCCAATCCATTATCATTCATCCCTTTCTATGAAAATAAAGGGATTTGTAGTCACTAGTAGGATGAACTTTGCATTCATACCTCATAAAGGGACCATATTTGGGGAGACAGACCACAGGTGCTACCGGATATGGAAAACTTGAATAGCATCCAACCTTTATTTCTTTAAATAAAAAAAGAATTACCTGTTACTACACGGATGAACCTTGGAAACATGTTAAGTGAAATACGTCAAACACAAAAGGTCATTTATTGTATTTTTCCATTTATGTGATGTGTCCAGAATTGGTGAATCCATAGAGACAGAAAGCAGATTAGTGCTTGCCAGGGGCTGAAAGGAGGAGGAAAGGGGAGTAACCACTTAATGGGTACAGAGTTTGTTTGGGGGGCAATGAAAACGGTTTAAACTTAGAGAGTATAATGACAATACAACTCTGAATATACTAAAAACCATTGAACTGTACACTTTAAAAGGGTAAGTTTCATGGTATACGAATTATATTTCAATAAAGCTGTTATTGAAAAACATAATCTCGATTTCAGGTAACTCTGTCGCTAACCACGTCACAGTGCTCATGATTCTGAGTAACACAGTAAAGACTCTTGGCTTCGGAGGCCTTTATTCAGCCTAGAACGTACTAGGCCTCTTGTCCTCCCCCTCCCTACGCTTTTCCTGCCAAAATCCAACTTTTATTTTTAAAAATAGCCTACTCATCCTTTAAAACTGAAAAATTTGTTCTTTTTCTGCAAAGCTTTCCTTGACATCCCTAATCCCCCAGGCAGGAATAACTGCTCTCTCAGCACTTAATATATAAATGACTAAAACACTTTTGATTATATTAGAGCTCACTATTTATATCTCTGCTTCTCCCTCTAGACTATGAGCCCACGAGGGTCAGTGTCTCATTAAACTTCTGTATTCAGTTACCACCACAGTGCTTGGTATCAAATTTTCAAAAGATTTTCAGTAAATTTTTAAAAAATACATATTCTATAAATAAGGGATACAATGATACTGTCACATACAATTATCTAGTTGAATCTTTTGCAATTCCAAAGCTGATGAAAACATTTAACCCAAATGAGAATTAATTCAGCATCTTCATTATATTGCTAAAATAAGTTGGATGGGGGGGTGGGGTAGGGGGTGGAAGCTGGCCAGTATGGTATCTGAAAAAGTTGGAACCTTTCTAGATGGAATGCAAAATTTTTGTATTTTTATTGCTGAACACCTATAAATGCATTAGGACTCAAGTATGTAAATCAAAACACTGCCTTTACACAGACATGTGTATAAGTTTTGATATGCATATTTATTTTGCTTAATGTACACAGACGTTTTCCAAAGTAATATAAAATGATGTAGGTAGGACAGTGATTTTTGTTGCTATGAAGTCCTCTGGTGATGACTGTATTTTAGACCTTATCTTAAAATACATATTTAGAGTTTAAGAAAAATAATGTTCCTTTTCTAAGACAGGGATTACAAACTTAAATCCCTACAAGGGTCAGCAACTGAACAGCATCATCTAAATGAAAAATATCACCTATAGAACATCTCTGGGCAGGAAACTAACAGTGTTTGTCTCCAGGAAGGGAACTGGGGGGCTAAGGGACAGGTGTAAAGGAAGATTCCCTTTTTGCAGAATATTATTTTAATACCTTTAAATTTTGTAACAAGTCATTATTTATCTATAAAATTAGCTTCTCAGCTCTGGCTAACTATCACTATTAAGAAATGCAGGCGTGGAATTGCCAGATCTGACTTTCTCAAAAAGTTGGAAATGGGAAAATTCAGACTTTTATGTAAAACTCATGATTTTTTTAAATGTTGGCTTTATTGAATATTTAACACATAGGGCAGGGTAAAAAAAAAAAAAAAAAAAACCCACGAAAAACATACCTGCGAGCTATATCTGGCTCAGTTTACTATCCCTAAGCTAAAATTTGATGTGTGACTTATGATTCCAAAATTATAAATATAATTTTTTAAGGCATCCAAAACAATAAATATAATTTAATGAAAGAAAATTCAAAAAGAAAACTCAGGGCCGGCCCGGTCCGGTGGCGCACTGGAGAGTGCGCCGCTTGGGAGTGCGGTGGCGCTCCCGCCGAAGGTTCGGATCCCATGTGGAGACCGGTTCCCGTTCACTGGCTGAGCGTGGTGCGGGTGCAACACCGAGGGTTGCGATCCCATTGCCGGTCAGTAAAAAAGACAAAAAAGGAAAAAAAAAGAAAACTCAGACTTGTGGATGAAACCATGTGCCCTCCTACCCCACCATCTATTTAATCACTATTGCTCTCTTCCCCTTCCCCTTCTGAGTCTCTGAAAAGGCTATGTTTGACCAACTAAATACAAGATACACCAAGTTAAATCAAGGAATCTACCCATTATCTTTGCATCTGCTCTGTTTTAAGGAGTGACATACGAGGTAAATTTCAAGCTGCAATTCTTCTAGCCAACTAAAGCAAAATATGTAAATTATGTCTAGCTAGGTGGCAAAACTCCCCCAGCCATCTCGTCAAATAATTGCAAAGTTGCAAAGATCTTTAAGTGACTTCTCTCATACCATCAGGCAGTACAGCACTGCTCAAAAGAGAATGGCGGCCACAATCAACACAATGTTCTGTACCCTGTCTGGGAACCCAATCACAGTTCTGGGGAAAAAAATCTCTAAGTCCTGCAGAGATGCCATTCCTCTCCTGAAAATTAAAATAAGCTTCCCTGTGGTTCTAACTATTAGCCATAAGTGGAAGATTGCATTTGTTTAATGCTCAGAGGACACCAAAGAAAGTTAAAGAAGAACTGGTTTCAGTTCTAAGTCCAGAACTAGAGATGGACTATCTTGCCTCACCGGTGTGCCTGAAACTCTCACCCTAATGTGCTCAAAGTTCCAAGGCGTTTGACTCTGGGATCTCTACATGGTTTTCCTTTCAGTGCTTGCAACAGCAGCCCTTTCACCACACAACTTACAGAGGAGTTATCAATGAACAGGACTAATGGTAACTTTGTAAGTGTACCACTCCTGCAGGGCACATGCAGTCAAGGTTTTCCTTACGTAGCTTGTGGAAATGCTATGATAAGTCACACTTCTCCTAATGGCTTCTTCACCCAGGTAACTAAGAGGAAAAGATGTTCATTTAATCTCATTTAACCTCATTCATCCATTTTGAGGAATTGTACATTTTGCCAAGTGAACTGAATAGATCTATCACTTTACATAGCATTCCCTTTTTGAAGAACAGTGAGCATTTGGAAAAACCAAATTATAATCTATTTTTTAAACTCAGTCTTAAAAAAAAAATGATGCAGTGACTCAGGGAATTAAGATCTGTAAAACAGTCTAGCTGAGAAACAAAGCACAACTCTCTCACGTAGTATCTAGAGAAACCATTACGGTGGGGTTCAATGACCTAAGGAGACTGATCAAATTGTGAAATACCAGCAGGCATGTTCTTTCTGAAGAACGAGGCCAGAGTGCAGTATCTTCATTGACTTGCATTTTGGCATATGGTCATTAGAGCCAACACTCCAATACCCAAAAATCTTGCAGATCCTAAGTACAAGAGGTGCTTGAAAATCAATAATGTGTACTTCCTTTATCAGTAATTCTGTGCACTAGGCACCTACTGAACAACACCTTGCACACACGAGCATGTAGCAATTGCTAATGGTTCTTTCTTCTCCGATAACTAGCACGCTTAGTGATATTTACTGTAAGGGAAAAAATTGAAGTTAATTGCTTTCTTCCTTTTCGATAAAGCTGAGTATCAAACAGATTTCAAGCACATCACTCCTCAGTATAGAAAGGTTGTTTTGTTCTTACCTCAGCAGCTTGGGTTTCTTGATGCAGCAATGTAAGACCAGTCAAGTCTTCTAAGAAGGAATGTGAAGAATTAAACACCTTCGCTAGGAAATTAAATCCATCTTGCTCATATTGATCAAGGACCTGAAAAACATTCATGTTTTTAAAAAGGGGTCTGCAGATGTTAAATGCATATTAAAAGACTTTTACTTTTAACAGGCACCTGTCAAAAATAAAACTGAGAATTAAACATGGGGACAATAATGCAATCTGGTAGGCAAAAAACCGGGAAGGCTTAGTATTTATCATCTTTTTTCTTCTTAGGAAGAATAGAAATATGGTCTGCCAGTTGAGATGCCAATTTTTCCCAAGTACAATAAGTTTCACACAAATTTACTAAAAATTCTAGAAGAGCTGGGATTCTAAAGTTCACTTCTTAGAAGAGAAATAACAGATGAGAGAAGAGCCAAGAAAAAAGTTTAAAAGGATAAAGGGAAAGGGAGGGATAAAAGGATTTTGTCACAAATGTGAGGTATCAGCTAGCCAAACACACTTTTAAAAATAATTTTAAAATGGGAAAATAAATTTCCACAAACACTTTACAAAAGAGTCCAAAGGGCCAATAAACATGAAACTGTGCTCAACATCACAAGCAATCAGAGAAATAAAAACTAAAACTACAATGTAATACTACTCTGCACCCACAAAAAAGGCTAAAATGAAAAACACAGAAAAGACCAAATCTGACAAGGATGTGGAACAACCAGAACCTCATGAAAGTATAAAACTTTATTAGCTTAACACCTACATGCTCTATAGGATAGGGCATGTAGATCCAGCAATTCTACTCCTAGATACACACACCCAACAAAAATGTGTATATGTGTGCATAAGAAGACACAAAAGTGTCCATAGTAGCACTATTTATGACAGCCCCAAACTGGAAAGCATCTATCTACTGTTTATCAACAGTAGAATAAATAAATGAATTATGGTATATTCGTGCAATGGAATACTACATTCATCGAACATAATGTTACACAAAAGAAGGAAGAGGTAGTATGTACTGTAAAATTACATCTATACAAAGTTTAAAAAATTAATCTACGGTGTTAGAAGTCAAGATAATGGGGCCGGCCCGGTGGTGCACTGCGCTAGTGCGCTGCTTGGGAAGCGTGGTGGCACTCCCGCCGAGGGTTCGGATCCCACATACAGACCGGTTCCCGCTCACTGGCTGAGCGAGGCGCAGGGGCAACACCGAGGGTTGCGATCCCGTTGCCGGTCCTGGTCCAGTACGGGGGCGACACTGAGGGTTGCGATCCGTTGCCGGACACGGAAAAAGACAAAAAAAAAAAAAAGAAGTCAAGATAATGGAAGGGGGCACAAGGGATGTTCCAGTGTGCTGGTAATATTTGTTTATTTATCTGAATGTTGATTACACAAGGTGTACTTTTTGAGAATTCCTCAAGCTGAACATTTAAGATTTGTGCACTTTCCAAATATATATGTTATTCCTTCAATAGAAAAATCAAATGATAAAAGGATAGTTGTCTTGACTAGAGAACAATATGAGAATAGTAAAGAGTTCTTAGGAGCAAACAAAAAATGATTATCATGTTTAGGAATTATGAATTATAGAAAGCAAACAGTGAACCAGAGTGCCTCAGAAATTCTCCCAGAACTCAGAAGAAATAAAGAGATAAATGAATAGAGAGATTGGAGAAGCAGTACCACAAAAAATAAAATTTCTCCTTTCAGAAAATGAAAATGCATGAACCCTTCACTCCAGCAATTCCACTTCTAAGTTTTTTCATGCAGATATCGTTGTGCATAGGCACAAAGACTGATACTGTAAGAATGCTCATTGCAACACTGTTTGCAGCAACAGAAGATTGAAAACAGCTACCCTTTAATAGGAGACTGATAACTAAATGATGGTACTTTCACAATCAATGCCATATTTTGTATCCATTAAGAGAATGAGGCAATTCCATAGTATTGATGTAAATTGATTTCTAAGACACAGCAATATATTAAAAAAGCAATATCCACAGTTTGTATTCATTATTTATGCTTTAAAAAAAGGTGGGGGTAGGAGAGAAGAGGGGAAATGTACACATGTACATGCTTGTTGATGCATTTAAGATCTCTGGAAGAATACACACACACACACTGGAATCAGGTAGTTGTCTCTGCATGTTCTTTTATACTACTTCAATTTTTAAGACCATGTGTGTGTATTACTTATTTAAATAATAGCAAAATCTTAATTTGGTGATTTTTTTTTTCTTATCAGTGCTGCAGAACAGGCTCAGAAGAATCCACAGAAGAAGAGATTGGTGCTAGAAAGGAGGGGCAGCCCTCCCTCAGGGACAGGAAGTTCAGAGGTAAGCATGAGCAAAGCTGCTGCAGTGAAAAGTTAGGGGAGCAGGGAACTGGGGGCGGAGAGCTCTGGAGTCTGAATGGCAGGCACAAGTCCTCTGCTGCCAGGGAGGAGAAAGGGTGACGCTGCAGGCCAGCAATGTGGGGAGTGTAAGAGGAGAAGCTGACCAGCAGAGCATAAACAGTGCTGAGCAATCTGAGGCCCCTGCTCAGGACAGAAAATAAAATCTCTGGGAGAAAGGCAGTTAAGGACCCATATAAGCTTGGGACTGGATAAGGTAACAAAGGTGAGATCAGAGAAATTGAGGGGCTGGTGAACACCCGTGAAGGGACTGAGAATGAGCTTCAGGATAGCAGGGTCAGAGAGACTGAGAGCCCTGGAGAGCTGGAGGAGAAGGGGGACTGTTATGCCTCTGGGCACGTACAAAGTCAGGTCTCAGGCTGATTGGCCACAGGAAATTGATTTGACAACCCAATGCCTGGATAAAAGGCATTTAATAAGTAACTGAATCCCTTAGTAATAATGAGATTCCTTACAAACCAGGATGTTATTTCAGGAAAAATGTGCATGGAAATGAAATGATCTTTTTTGAAATGATAAATACTGTGTTTTTAGTGATCACTTATTTCTGAATGAACCCCTAAGCTCAGTAAATAGCTACTTTATGCCAGGTTTCCAGTAAGATAAAAGAAGAAATGAGTTTGATTAATGGACAAAAACTCTGAACAAAAATTGGAATAATTCCAGAAATGATACTTCGTTGGACTTTAGTTAAGCTTTCAGATTTTAAGTCCATATTTCTACATATAATTTTGTAGTGCTAAAAATATGACAGTGGAAAAAGTAACAGCAAGGGCAGAATGAAGAAAAGACCTCCCCCACAATCAGGATGTACAGAAAGTTTAATGCTAAAGCATTATTAATAGCACTGGCTTAAAAATATATGGAAAAACTTAATCCTCTAGGGGCTTATTTAATCATGCAAATGTTTTCCAGTATTCTTTTTATGTGCTGTGAAGTTAATCTGTGTTATGAGAACAAGCAGCTTATAAAAGGCACAAGGATTTCCCCTACAAACAGCTGAAGCTTCCTAAAGGGGAAAATGTGCTCAAAACAATCCAAAAAAAAGAAAAAACCAAAAAGATACTATCATAATGAATTTGAGCAACAACCTGTCAGTCTACATAGAACATACCACAACTCTTAAGTGAATTATATAATACAGTCACGTGCAGCATAATAACATTTCAATCAACGTCAGACCACATATAGGACAGTGGTCCCATAAGATTATAACGGCTATGCCAGACAGCTGACGAGTGTTGTAGGATACATACATCAAGGTTTGTATAAGTACTCTGTGATGTTTGCACAACGGTGAAATCACCTAAAGACACATTTCTCAGAATATATCCCCCCCACTAAGCAATGCATAACTGCACATGGTCCTAAGAAGTGTACACGTTACATCTTGGAAGGTTATAAGTATTCTAAAAGTACCTGGGAAAGTTTGCTAAATAGAGAAATAATAATGACCATTTTAGTATAAAGATATGGACCTTTCCTGACCAATGATTTTCCTTACCTAATTGTTTTCCAAGTCTAGATTTTCTTTATTCATGACTTACCCCGGACAAAAATAGTAAATTCTCTCCTTAAAACGTGATTTTAGGAGTATCTTGCTGAGACTCTTTGGTGACTACCTACTCTTTACTACATTGAACACACAGTCTCCAGCCAGGCATTTAAGCCCCTCCATAACTGTACAAATTTATGTGACTCTCTGGAAAATGCCTTTCATAGGCTCCAAAATCTGGCAACACCATGTAATGATTTTCATTTCATGAGAAGCCAAAGAGATTCATAGTTTGTCTATTATCCTTAAATAAGGACACCAGGAGATGTGCACTCCATCTAAAAAAAAAAATAGTTTATATATTTTCAAAGGGGGGAGGAAACACTTTTTTTAAAAAAAAATAAACCTCTTGTTTAAAGTCTCTTTTGTTTAGAGGTTGTACTTATTTGCTCTTGATATTTAAAAAATATATATGTATACATATAAGGACACTTCAAAAAGCTCATGAGAAAAGATAATTAAAAGATAATACAAATCTTTCCACGAACTTTTTGAAGTTCCCTCATATTTCTAAAAATATGAGTTGAAGTCACAGGGCACACTACTGCCCCCAAAATTGGAAAGACAGAGGTGAATACAGAAAATCACAACATACTAGAGCGGAAACTTCTCTGGGAACCAGCACCGGGGCAGGAAAACCTAAACTGTAATTGACCAACTGCTGGAGGCTAGGTGTGGACAGTCTGAGTTAAAAAAAAAAAAAACTCCAGGGGGCACCAATCTTAGGGGGCCCCTACGCT